TTCGGGAAAGTGCAGAAAGCAAGATTTGGAGGCGACTGCATCACTATCGTCTAGTGGCAAAGCAACAAGGAAAATCTATCAAAATAGGGATACTTGGTAGGTGAGTTGTTTTAGCTGTTTCTTTTTACCCCTGTGGCACCACTCCACATGCCTTTTTTGGCCTTCTAATGTGTGGTGTGGGAAACAGGTGTGGTTCACTAAAACCACTTTTTACATCACCGATCGTAGATTTTGTAATAATCGAGGTGTCCTGGTGGGGTTAGCTCTTGCAAGCGTGAGACTAATGGAGAGTTTCGGCCTAATTTGTAGTAGGGTGTGTGACAACTCTTTAGGGCCACCTGTCGGACAAGCGACCCCCTGGACAGAATCTCAGCTCGAATTGCAACCAAATAAGGCGCATTGAATCAAGACAGAAATTCTACCAACCGTTGGTCGTCTTGAACACGCGTATAGCTTAGTGTCTGCCAGACACCGGACTTTACTGCGATGCGACGGTCTGTGCTCCTGTGTGGCTTACAAGGTACCGTCTAAACCGCCACCTTGGTCGGGCTTGAGTGCTACGATGATTATACCGGCTACACTGGCTAAAACCTCGCCCTACATGGTTTAACCTTGCGAACAAGGACAGGGTAACAGGCACACGGAGAGCACCGAAACCGCATGCTACAGCTTACCGTGCTATGAAGTGGTCTGAAGATACAGTCTGCGTTTGGAGTGTGAGAGCAATAGAGTGTTTTCATATGAGCAGCGATTCTGCCTCATCCCGACGAAGGATGGGTTGGAAAATATTGGCCCTAAAACCGTAGCTGTAGCACCCTTTCGGTGCCTAGCTGCCATGCAAACAGTTGGTTTGCAGTTGGTGCCCACCAGGTTACGTGGTGCGAACGTTTATGTTGAAAGGTTTTACTTTCCAGAAACAGTTCATGATCAGCACAGCTGAAGTAGTCGATCTCCCTTGTCTGTGTACCTAGCATCGACTCCTAATTGACTGTCCAGATGTGATTCCAAGGAGCCCAGACGACCTACTTGAGCATTCAGATCGTCTGCAAGGATCAAAATGTCAGTGCTTTTGCTTGACGAAGGAGCCAAGAAAGCTCTCGATAGGAAGTATCCTTCTCCGCATCAGAACTGCAGTCCGTTGGAGCGTAAGTCGACACTACAAACAGGCACCGCTTTTTATACCGAGGGATATAGCTCCCTTCCCAATTCCCATACTTGACAGTTACTGGCAGTGCTGTATTTAGGTACTAATTTATCAGCTCACGCAGCTACCCACTCCACCTCCCCAAATAATCGGTAAACGAAACTGTGGCGGCTACAACCACTGTACTACAAGTACGCGGTTATTGCAGCTGACAATAATGATTATGATGATTACGACGCCGTGCAAACTATCGTCCAGAGGAATAAACCAAAATAATCCATCATCAAGCTGAAATGGTCCGATCCACGTTGTAGCTTCCAATGTCCGAGTACTCCGTCCTATTAAGTAACAGACTTTTCGCTTAAACTATGATTTCGCTTTCTTTTGATGTACGCTGTCTCCAAAATGCTCGTGTAAGGTCCTACTTTGGTCGCACACTTCAAGCCACCTGAGGTGAGCTCAAAGATTCCACATTTCACTCACAAGGTATTTGGTGGTCGTGGTTGCAACTATTCGTAGTACCTGTCGTGTTTGGTCTGCATGCAGCCCCATGGCTAAAAGCACCTTATGAGGCTTGAATTCTGGCAAATAATTGTGCTCGCGTTGTATGTCTGTGTGGCTCGGTTAAAATCAATCAAGATCGATGCCGAGAAACGGTGTTTACTTGTCCGTTCCGACGGATATCACGACTGCTGCGATCAGCAAGAACGATAAATGTAATCTTGGCAGATGGTATGTACGTCACTTTGGGCGACCAGATCAGAGGAAGCACAGTTGAATGGGAGACTCGGAGTCGACACTCATTGTTCTGATGAGCTATACCCTGAACAACTGTTTCTGGCCTTTTTGAGCTTTCAGCACAAGTGCCCACACTAATTTAGTTAGAAGTCACCAACCACAGATCAGTCATACACTCTGTTGGACTATGTGGCCGATGGTCACCGAGGGAGTCTTAATTGGGAATTGCTATTCCTTCCAGGGGTACACAACTGAAATCAGGCAATGTCATCGTACGAAGTCGGCTATCGTTTTCTTTCCTCCATTATTAAAAGTGCTGAAATAGAATAATTTTGTTTATCAAATTTGTCGGGTTCCGTTAGCCAAACGATACCGAGCTGGTTTGGTTGGAATATCTTTGGGAGCGCACAGTCACGCTGATGATGGAGACTGCTTGGACGTTAAATTGAAGAGAATGAATGATGCTATGCTTTCACATTCAGAACTGTCTTCTGTCTCGAACAAATGAAAATCATCATCATTGATAGCAACACTATTGAGAACACTGGTGCCTCACCGCAGCAAAACCATATGAATTTATCTTAATAAGGGAAAGAAGGAACAAAATGGGGCAGTGAGAGACCTAGGGCTAACCTACCACAGTCATCTAAGGTACCTGCATTTCCAACACTAAATCAGACAATCTGAATAGAAACTGACAGCATGATAGCCACCAACATCGGTGGCCATATCGTTCATTACCTCCAGCCAGGTACCGAGAGGATCAGGTGCACCCTATTCTCGAAGGCAAACAGCACTCAAACTTTTCGTGACATCCTTCATTCGCCTCTGCGATGTCGAGTTGTGTCCAATCCTAGTTTTTCGCCACTCCAAATTAGGCACGAAAAACAGTCCCCGTTTCGGCAGGCCGTAACTCAGAAGGCGAAACATACGGCCTAGCCACTTATGCTTGCAGTGCAGGATGCGTTCATTGAGCGAAATTTTCTCTGCTTCACCAAAAACCTGTCTTCTGATCCCCTTATTGTGAATTCGCTAGTTCCAGACGAGGGGCATCGATGGTTAAAGACCTGAAGATATCTCAGATCCTCCGCTTTAAGTGGCCAAATTTCACAGCTGTGTAACCATACAACCCGCACTACAGTTTAATATACGCATCCTTTGTGACCAAATGGGACGCCTTATTGATGCCACAACTGGTACTAATTGAGAAAAGCAATTCTAGTGTTTGAGGTTCGTGCATTGACTTGATCCGTCACGCTACAGTCAGAGCTGATGGAACACGTACATACAGATACATATAACATTCCACAACTTCCATTGCAACTTTCTGAATTCTAGAGGCATGTTCAAAGTCTGTAACTTCCGCAACATGCCTTTGCCATTCGCGGGCGCGAAGCATGTGCCGAAGAACCTAATGGCCTCTGTAGGTTTTCTAGTATTCAAAGCCGAGAACAATCTCGTCTGCATGTTCCAGGTTGATAGGGTCCTCGCTCGGAGGGAGTTGAGCATGAGGATTTTGGACATCTGCCATTGTTCGCCTCAATACACCCATCGATAACGAAATTGAACAAAAATGGAGAAAGGAGACATCCTTGTCAGGCACCACTGCTTGTACTAGGGCTTTTGGAGGATTCTCCATACATTCACGCATCCAAAAGTATGTGAATGCAAACAGCTCATCGGTTTCAGAATTTTCTGGGGTGTACATATTGTACAAGTATGTTCAACCGGTCGACAGAATCTAACACATTGTTGAAATCAAGGGACAACAAAATTGTATGGCGCGTATATGCATGCCGTTGCTTTAAAACTTTATTGAGTTTGAAGATAACGTTTACACAGCCCCTGCTCGACTGGAATCCTGCTTGTTGTTCTTGGGCCCCGTCTTCGCTCGTCTTCGTAATAAAACGTGGGATAAGAGGTGCAAATAAGGTCGTGCCAAGCTCTCTTTTGCAGACAGGCGAGCGGTTTTCTCGGCGGTTGTTTCTTCCCATTACTCACGTTCCTAGAACTTCTTCCCTACGTAACGTACTCAGTTTTCTGGACCCACCAAGCTTTTCGATCCGCGCGGATGCTATTTTTCACCTGAAGTCTGACAGTTAGTCGAGTCCTACTGTACTCTCGGTCAAGAGCAATTCTCCGGGATGGGAACCATAACAGCCGCTATCTCGCGGTCCAAACTGTTGAGTCAGAGGCCAGGGGCACGTTCCCAAAAACCCTACATCTTCCCACTGTCTTGTGGGTCAGGCTTTTGAGTCAAAGGCTCAAGTTGGGTTACCTCAACAAAACCAGTCTCTTTTCGACGTGGGCAACCATGAAGTAACATCTGCCCTTGCAACTCTTCACTCACCGGCCGTCCCCATCCATCGAATGATAGTGTTGTCAAACCATCTGCCAATCCCATAGCCAATGCTCCGCGTCTAAACTGTCGCTCAGAAAAATATACCAAAGTAATTACTAACTTCTAAAGGTCTGATTCGCATTGCACCCTTCAATATCCGTACTTGTGTGGAATCGGGATACAGGCATCTCTTACTGAAAACTTGCTTTCCCTCTGTCCATGGATGTTGTATCTCCGAAAGACGCAGGTAAATCTCTTCGGCTCGTAGATTTTAGCCCATTCTGTTTTTTTTTCGGGTTTCGTCCGAATGATTGTGAATGACGTATTTCATTAGATTAGTGCACACAAAAAATAGGTTGCTGAAAACTCCTCGGCAATTCACGACTTGTTTCGCCCTTCGGTGACATCTCGAATATCGTACCAACTGAAACATGAGGCGGCCTTTTTGCAGCACATTCAGTTGAAGAATATCATGAACTATAGATTCACTTAAGTCTCCCAGTCAAACCAAATTAATATGCAGAGTGTATTTGTCGAAATATAGTTGGACTCTTCACTGCTTAAGCGTCTTTATCCCCACTTCATCGGTAAATGAGATTGTTCAGGCATCTTTCGTCTTTGGTGAACGAAACTGCAGCAGCCACCTTTAACACTTTTTAATACGTGTTTGTGAGTTGCCAAACTGGAATCGACATTTTTTCGCACACGTTTCGACCTAAATCATGGGCGTTTGGAAGTAAGATCGTCTATTTCTGTGATTCATCCTCTTTTTTCTAGGTTGCATGGCTGAGCGTTTGAAGGAAAAACTACTACGTAATCCAGGTTTTTCAGTCGACCGGCTTACAAGTGGAGCAATTTCGAACCTGGAGCCTCGTCTCTCGCTGTCTGTTGGTGCTGATTTTGTCTGTGGACCAGATGCCTACCGCGATCTGCCCAGGCTGATTGCAAATGCGCACGCTGGAATTCAAGGTGCAAGTGTGGCATTATCCCTTGAAGAAACATATGCTGATGTGAGGCCTGTCAGACTGTGCCAGTCGTCCGAAGACGGACTGGAAGGAAATCAGTCCAGTCCATCAGCCTTCCTTTCTGTGATGCGTGGATGTGACAACATGTGCACCTACTGTATTGTGCCGTTCGTCCGCGGTCGAGAGAGAAGCAGGCCCTTGTCTTCAATTATAGATGAAGCAGCCCAGCTGTTTGAAGCGGTACTTAGTTGAAGTCATGCTCAAAGGTTTTCAGGTCTAGGCTTTTTATTGACCACTTCGGGTTGTCATGTTTTCCATATGTGTACAAATCGAGGGTCGTTAAGTAGGTGACGTTGGTCAGCTGGCAAAATTGGGATCCTGTCTTTCCAGAATCTCTCCTCTACCCGCCTGAGTGATGCAAAACAGTAGTCTACAATGCATTTGTTGTCAACCTGGATAAGCTCTCGATCATGCTTTGCCTCACCTTTTGTATACCACAGACTCAATGTTTTTCCAATGCTAGCAATGAATATGTTGGTCTTATAGCTATACTCAGACTGACCTTACATGGCATTGAATCGCTTCCCGACTGCTATTACAATGCGATCATAAGCTAACCGGTTGTGCTGGTCACCATCGCCATCATTGGATGTTGAAGTAACTAGGCTGGAGCCACTGGGCTGGGTTAAGATCGCCGCAAAAAGGCTCACTGAATTCCCTTGAATGTTTTTGACCCCTGCTACTGAATTAGGTGCTGCTTTTCATCGGTTTAGTGGGAAAATTGACATCATGGTATTGGTTAGTACATGGAGAATTTGTAAAGGAAGCCCGCTACGTAATTACTGAAGACTGCATTCATTGCCCTCATCGTCACTGATAACAGCACCAATCTGGAGCATTAACCACAACCATGCGGCCACATCAGTGCAAGTGATCGTTTTTGTTCCTGAGAGGAAAATTAACCTTCTGACTGACTCCATTTCCCATCTGTAATCTGTCTATTGCAGTGCGGTTAACTGATAGCCCGGGGTGGACGTAAACACCCGGGTATATCAACTTTTACGAAAGTAGGTTATTTTCTGTATCCTGGAGCTCATCTTTTATCATTCACAAGTGCGGATGACAAGGAAGAACACGCTGATCTTGCCAGCGCCACCGAATACATGCTTAGGTGAGCTCAAGTGAGTCTGTTTGACGTGAGAGTGCGAACCAGTAAAGGCGACATGAGACAAGTGTGTCGCACTTTCAAACGAAATCTATCCACTCTAAAAAGATATAAATAGTCTCTACATTACTGCTCAGAGCTCGAGATATACCAGTGATTAAGGAACTAACTTATTGGTCAGAAGGTCCGTGGCTCGAACACAATCGCGGCATCTCGACTGCTCCTGTTTAGGGTTGGGCAACCTGGCGGTATCTCAACCCTCGTGCCTCCCTCGGATGGCATATCAGCTAGACACCGAAAAGGTGTTGCAGGTCAGCGAACGGTAGACTACTGTTTAATTTTCCACAGTTTTGGGGTGGCATGTATATGTGTTGCAGGTAACTTGTCCATTCTCGGTAGACCATAGTTTGATGACTGGTGCGTGGACTGTCGTGCGATACGCCGGTTAAAACAGTAGTTTATCAATGCTTTGTGTTAGGCCAGGTTCAGCTCTAGCATTATCCAGATTCGCTCACATGGTGTCGATGAAGTTGAGATCCTGACTTTCTTGTGTACGACATTCAACAGCTCACTAACCTCTGTCAAATGCGAATTAAACTTTAAAGCCAAACGGTCGCCACATGTCCGGTTGTCATGAGTCGACCACTCATTAGTTAACTTTGGTGCCTTGAAATTCAGGGCACTGATGGTTACTGTGGTTTAAAAGTGCGTTTGGCTAATTTATCAATCTAGTATCCTCAGTGGACTGACATGTAGGTTCATTCCATGCTTAAACTTGTCAGTCAGACTACAAACACGAAGACTTTAATGTTCTATTGCAGTGGGAATGCGTAGCCAGGCTCTGAGATATCTTGCTACATGCAGTGGTCATGTGACAAAGAACCTGCTTTTCCCCCTGTCGTGCTACTATCTCAGTTGATCCGAACAGGCGTGAAGATTAGGGGAAATCATTGACCATACATGACAGGAACAGCTTTGCGTGTGTGCCCTGCAGGAAGGTGTAAGTCTACACCAACCAGCGACACACTGCAACAAAATCACCGAAATCCAGTATGAAACGAAACCCATCACATTTTTCAAACGGCTGTCTACTTTTCAGTAGAGACTTCCCGTGGTTGTTTCTTGAGAGGGGCTAACCGTATGATTTTGGTGACGATGAGTCCTCTTTAACAATAAAATCGAACGTTTTCTTTGGTGTCTATACATTTTTCCAGGGCGTCCGGAATATTACTTTGTTGGGCCAGAATGTCAACAGTTATTGTGACCAATCGGTTCCTCAGAGCCGGACGCTCACATCGACAACCCAGCTTACACCTGGATTTCATGCAGTCTATCGACCAAAGCTTGGCGGTCTGCGATTTGTGGATCTTTTGGATGAAGTCAGCCGCATAAGCCCGGAACTTCGAATTCGATTCACTTCCCCGCATCCCAAAGATTTTCCACCCGAGGTACTGCAATGTTTTGAACACCATAGACTTCTTTGCTTTTGATAGTTGACAGATGTTGAAACTTCCCGGTGTCTATTTGGATTAAAGTTAGCTTGCCTTTTTTGGTCGCTTGTTATTGAGTGAACAGAGAGTGCATGATTTTTCTGCCTTTACTTACCCATGTACAAGTTTGGATTCCCCGAGAGATATTTGAGTGAGCCAGATTTCCACAAGCGTAGGTTTTACACCCGGGAAGTTGTTTAACCGAATGCGGAGGGAATGAGATCCCCTCAGCCTCGTAAACAGCAGCCACTTTGTCATATTATTTACATGAAATCCATGAAATGCGCATGAAATCCATGAGGTCTGTGCTATCCACACTCAGTCATCTGAAAGCTTCGGTTTGTAGTGTGAAACATATACTTACGATTGTAGGTATTAATAAAGATTTTAGAGTTTCGGGTCCGGATTTCATCTTTTAAGTCAAGCCAACATGTATTGAGAAGGTTTGAATCTCTGCCCATCCGTTTCGTGCCTCTTGCGACTCGTCAGCAATGCATATTTTACGAGTTCCTAGAAAGCTACGAGCCGTAAATCTTAGACATTCAACTCTCTGTGGTGGGTTGTTCATATCCCAGGTAGAACTTCACGAGTTCGAATCCATTTGGAGACTCGTGAGTTGTGCATTGCTAGTGGTTTTCAACGGGACGAAGTGGCTTCTCAGCTTTCCTCTTGGAGCACCAGATCTGAAGTAAGAAAGATCTCCACTCATTCATCTGGTTGGGCTCTGTTGTACGTTTCGCCCTCGCTGATCGAGATGGGCTAATGTTATCACCACCCCTGAAAGTCTAACGGAATACCTTTTATCCCGAACTACATCCTTCTAAGAGTAAAGATTCCGATGGTGAAAACAAAACTCTCTCTCAGGTGCTGCAGCTGATCGCCGAACGCCACAACATTTGCTCTCATCTTCACCTCCCCGCCCAATCTGGAAGTGCAACTGTACTGGATCGTATGGGACGCGGCTACACACCAGATGCCTATCTTGCCTTGGTGGAAACAGTGCGGAAGACTATCCCAGGTGAGAACCTGTTCAGTAGTGGAAGAGCACGCCATGCATCCCTATACACATTCTCGTCCAACTGTTACTGGTCTCCTGTCAGTTCCTCTTATTGTTTTTGGTTTCAGGTGTTGCCATCACGAGTGACTTTATAGCCGGATTTTGTGGGGAAACCGAGGAAGATCATGAAGCTTCCGTTCAGTTAATCAAAAACGTTGGCTACTCGTTCACGTTCTGCTTTCCTTACAGCATGCGGGAGGTAGGTTCATCGCGCACATTACTGTTTATCCGGACCAAACTAGCATCAAACTGATTGTCTTTAAGGCAAAATAGGGTTTGTGGTTAAGTTAAAAGCAAGGTTTTGGCGGAGGTTCCCTTACTTCATGTTGACAGTATAATGCGAGATACGTTAGACGAACATTTCAAAACAACCTCACTGCGCATTTTCTCTTCCTAAGTCACAATATGCTGCTCGACTTTTGTGTCAGTTGTTCATTAGAACGAGACTATACATGGTCATGCGGTGAATGCTCTTGAATGACTGTTGAGGACTTGTTCTCTCGTATAATTTGCTCGGGCTCATTCGGGTCACTCACTGCTGGTGTTTTGTTTGCTCCGCAGCGATTATTTTTCATCTGCATTGCCCTTGGTAGCTTGCAAACGAAATTCTTTAGCAACCAACAAAAGTTCGTCCGGAAACCGTTCGGAATAACGTTGGGAGTAACCACCAGTTATCTGAGCTGTTAAGCTCAATTTGTTGTCCCTATAGTATGCCTCAGTGAGTTAGGACGGGGCACAGACTCATTTTGTTCTTATCATTGCCAGGTGCGGCACATGGTTCACTACAAAGGTGACATTTAGTGCCAAGGGAACGATGTTTTAACGGAAGAATAGTGGACTCAGGCAGACCCGCAGACTTTGTCAAGGCGGCAATTAAGTTTAAACAGGAAGAATTCAAGCTGACAAGTGTACGCGAGAATCTACAGAACACTGGAATGTCCTCTGAGAAAGCCACGATCCATCGATATTCCTTACATATCGAAAGAAAACACGGGAAATGTGCATAACTCAGATTTTCGTTTGCTTTTGAGGAGGCTCAGGTTGCATAGATGGATGTCATTTCCGTCAAGCTGGGCAGTTTGGTCGCAAACGTTTCTTCACCATTGCTTAGCAAGTTGGCAGTGTTTCGGTTCGTCAGTTTTCAGCTGCCCTGATAGCTCGATGGACTGAGAAGAACAGAAGAATATCATCTGCACGGCATATTTCGAAACAAAATCTACCCGCGGAATTGCATCAAGAGAAGCAGGAAATAAAAGACCCCCGAACGTAATAACAACACGAACAGACAAGCCAAAGGGTCATCATACCGTACATTGAAGACGTACTCACAGCGCAACTACTACAGCCAAGATGGAGCCCGGACCGAAGAAAATCAACCAAAGTACCAAAATTACTTCACGGACCGCCATACTGTGTTGGACACACTGGACGAAAACTGTCTACATATACCAAGGGACACAAAGCGGTAATCAGAAGGCTGCTGTACTCCCCATGGTTTTAATTACGAAGACAACGGACAGAAATTCAACCTAGGAAACGTGGAGATCTTAGCATATGGAAACAAATGTGGGTGTTTCACCATAAAATCAGCGAACGGATACATAGAAATTCACTCAGTCTATGTACCACGACAAGCAAAGAATTGTCAGGCTCAAAAGGAACCGACCAGCGGTGCACGGATCAGGTGACAGTCATGGCAAACGTGGAACCAATTGGTCAGGGTTCATTTGGAAGAGGTTGGAAGGCAGACTCAAATGTCATCCGGACGCCGACCAATCTTGGAGCTAGCCAACCATCCGACAAAAGGGGCCAAACGATTTATCTTGATCAGAGGCCACCCCTCCCCCGAGTCACCAAGGCATTTTTGGCATGAGAATGGCACTGCTGGACACCTACGTACCAACAACTTATTATGCACTGCTGATATTCCCTCGGTTTACGGTCAGATTACCAAGCTCAGCAAACAGAACAATATCTTCAAGTTTTTCATGTTATATTAGCATCACTCAATGATTGATAGGTGGAATTTTCTGAACCTCATTCGATTGTCGGTTTTTTTCGGCCTGAACCTTTAAATAGGCTATAGCTCGCGATTGGAAAAGTTTAGGTGCTCCCAGATGGTGTTCTTGCTAAAGAAGAGTAAGTTCACCCTGGGTGAGAGTTCTTCGGCGGCTCGTTACCTGTTTTGTCTTCCCCGGGGCTCATTAGGTGGGCATAGTCATCGGGTTTCCCTCGATCTTATTTCCGACCTCAACACTAATCTGTGGAGCTGTATACTCACTTGGCGCTAACGGGAAAGTCAGCTGAATACCAGCTGAGTTTCATGTTGTAGTCTCTGAAATTTCTGAAATCTCGTGTGTTTGGATCACCAAAACGACAGTCGATTTGAAGGCCCTTGCTTGGAACCAGGTTCGTCAAAATGGTGCTCCACGGTTTTGTGCAATTGGGTACCCGGTCCACCGCACTAGTAATTGTTATTACATTCTGTTCTGTTCCCATACCTTGGCTGGAAAAGGCCTCGTTGAAAACACATGACCCATTCACACCTCGACGTGATTTCTCTGCGTCATGCATAACTATCATTCAGAATTAATATCAAGTTGTCGCCTAGAAACCCGATTTGTCAGACCTTTTATTTGCCATTTTTCACTGACATTAATGTTGAAATAGTCGTCCGAATGCCACTTTCCCGGATGTGGTCAGTCGTCCTACTGTTTCAATCTTTAGTCTTCCTTGTTTTACCACCAGAAAACTCGCGCTTACCACCGCCTGGTAGATGACGTCCCGTTGGAAACCAAAAACCGTCGTCATTTAGAATTGAAGGCTGCAGGGCGGCAAGCCAGTTTGGAATTTAATCGTGCACAAATCGGCCAAATACAGCTTGTCCTTGTAGAAGGGGTGAGTAATGCTACTGACTTTTGTGTGCTGCATCTGCCCTACCTAGTTGCTATTGTAGTGCTTGGTCTAGGACATTAAAACTGACGCGTCCTATCGCTACTTGAATGGACACGCTTTCCGGTGATCCGATTTGCTTACATTCGGTTCCATTGCCATCCTTTTCACTCTCCGCTCGCTGACCGCATCGTCATTAACAGAAGCAAAAGTATATTGTGGTTATAATTAACTGTAAAACCCCGGTGCCAAAACACTGAGTAAATTGTAGCGTATGCTGTAAGACAGTTGTAAGACAGAATTGCCCCCTGTTTTACTCAAACCACTCGCGTGTTTCACGGTAGATGGTGCCAGCTTCAAAGCTCTGTGCTCTTCCCCAATTCATGATTTTTACACCAGTGGACAACGGCTTACGGGGTAAGATTCTGGGGGGATTCCTTTTCGGCTGATGATACACGACGTGTTATTTGAAGCTGTCGAAATTTCCCTTCGTGTCATTCTGATCGAATTTCAGTTTGTCTTATTTTCTGATGTCTCAATATCCTTCATCGCTCCTAGCGCAGTCGCCGCTCATTCGAGGATGTTTTTGGTTTTAACGACTGTAATGTCAAAGTTATCTTCCCTCGTATGATGGCCCAATCCCCAACGACGGGGTCAACAAGCACAGCGACTACTCTGAACCCAGGGGACTACGTTGCGGTGCAGGTGAGTGATATTTCTTAGCTTAGGTATTTTGTCTCAACTGATGAGTCTTTACACTCTGATAACCTTACTTTGTTTTAATCGAACCACAAGATTTTTCCCCAGAAGAATTCAAATCGTCCTCCTCCTGGAGTCTATCCTGAAACTTATCTGTTGGTGGCTTGACGCACTCCTCTTAGAAAGAGTGAAGTATTTGATCTTATTGTTGTTTCGGGTCGCATCATCGGCCTTGTCTTGGTTCGACAACGAAAACAAAAATCTCATTTTGTTCGGATATCTAATAATGGTACTAATATACTACAGTTCTCCTCCCAAAAAAGGTGCGTAAAAAGTGAGTCGCAAACAGTAATATTTTGTCAACATTTAGTAGTTTTCTTTGAGCAACTCACATTTTCAGTGTATATTGCGGCAGGCTGCAGTTCTGAAGCTAAGAAAGGTGGGTTTTGAGATCTGTCATGACCGCTTCGTACTTTCATCCTGGCGGGCGAGATAAACGTCCAAGTTGGGCGACTAAGTCCGGAGGAAATACAACCGATCGCGGTCCACGGCCGACGCTTACTGCATAGACGATGGAGAACAACTCTCATAGAGATACACCGCACAACGGCCGTCCAGAATCAGTAGGAAATTTCAGTACCAGCGCTCACCCCGTGTTATTAGGTGACCGATCACAAGCCCGTCAAACACTGTTAGGTCGTTTGGTTGTCATTTACCAATGTGGAGTTCCAATTGCTATTTTTATTACCGAGATGCGCAATTTGATCTCGGTAGTGCCGGAGCACAGTAATTCCGTTCATCAATGGATTTCACTAGCTCAGCGATATCGAGTTGGTCTGACTCAGTAAACTGAGTTGGGTCAACAAGTGCTGCTTCTTTGGATGGAGACCCCGGGACGCAACTTATGAATGGTCAATGGCCCTGGCAGACATGACTCAGTGATGCAGTTAGTGGCGCTCATGCGTCGAAGACATCGCCTTCAATTCCTAGCTGTCCAGTTCCCTAACTGAGCAAGTCAGCGCCTCCAATATTTAGTTATATCTCACACGTTCTCCCATTTTCCGGTGGTCGAAACCAGCTGGAACTTCAATTCCTAGCTGTCCAGTTCCCTAACTGAGCAAGTCAGCGCCTCCAATATTTAGTTATATCTCACACGTTCTCCCATTTTCCGGTGGTCGAAACTGTAACAGCTGGAACCAACATACCCTTCGTACAAAGTTTATAGCTGATAAACCGATCGACTATCAAACCTGTCGACTGGGCCAGATAAGAACTGAAATTCTTGGAGATCAGCAGATCCTATCGCTGACATGAAGGCCATATCAGGAACTAGCGGTTACGAGGGTAAATGCATGTCCTTCAAATGGCTGGTAATCAGGAAGCCGAAAAATGACACAGGACGCTAGTGGACTGAGAAAGTCCACGAGATGGAGGTTTTCGCTGCAGGAAACCTCCGTGCTCTATTTGTGTTGATTGAATCAACTGCCCAAAGAAGGTAGGTTTGCTCGGAACAGTTTGGGGAGAAAGACTGGACAGCAATTCATGGACAGGTCAATTATCTTGAGCAAAGGCCCAAACGCCTTAAAGAATTATTCGCCTGGTCTCTTTTGGCACTACCCTTTGAATAAGCCAACGAACCTCAATGGGACATCGACACCAGCCAGCCATCGGCAGCAGAAACCCAACACAAGACATCTTCCCAACTCAGCGAGACGCCCGGCTAGGATGCTTTGCATGCTACACTTCTCAAGAAAAGTAGATCAGCCCTGGTGGACAATCTGGCGACCCTATTATTGAAAATTCAGGACAAAAACATAATACCAGTGCATTTAAGGGCTTTTTGTGATCGGAGTCTTCAAAAAGTTCGCAAGACGTGACACGNTAGCTGTAGCGTCCAAGGTGCCTCTGCCAATTTTTTGCGCACGCTGATTGATTACCGGGGGAAAAGAATCCGTAAAAATCAAGCAGGGTCTCGTCCTAGCTGAGGACGCATCGACCGTGTTCTCACGCTGAGAAAGCTTCTCGGACAGTGCCATTATTTCAAAAATCCAATTATATAGAAGTTGTTTTTGACTCTAGATCGTCAGAATCCTTGGCAATTGGACATGTCCCTTGTAAATTATCTAAAGACGCTGTGCGCCAGCGTACAAATATACAGCAGTCTGCTTGAGTTCACGTACAGTGTAAGATAAGGCTGATCTGTCACCATTCCTCCGCAACCTTGTTATTGGCTTGCATTTTAAAATTTCTCTGCCCACCTCTAAAACCTCGAGGGTCGGAATACTTTCGACACGTTCGCTCACATACACTGAGGATGCGTATGATGTTCCTATACTTGATTTGGATCTCTTAGAGATGCAAACCATTTTAAATGACCTAGATAACTCTTCCGCGCTGTTTGGTGCGTGCCCCGTATCCGCAGCTTGTAGAGTGCTGCTACAAAACCCGGTAGCATCAAACTGAAGATAAACCAGCTGAGACGAAAAATAAATTAATTAATAAGTTCCGTTTGACTCGCCTGAGATAGGACCACTGTTCATATCGGGAAATCCAGGATAGCTGTTTCCAAGTTTTGCTACTTATGCACCGTCGTGACATCAGTTCATCCTTCAAGGGCAGAGTTAACACTGCGATGCTGCGATCTGTACTGCTCAACAGCATGAAACTACTAACAAACAAACACATTGGATTTGGCGGCTACCGCATCCGTGGATCCGGGACTTAACTCAACAGTGATCACTGACAGTGGCGTGTATGGTTCAACCACATAGTCAGTGACGCCAGTGTATCTAACCTATGGCAACCAGTGCGTAAGTATCCGGTCTGTCGTTCTGCCGCATCAGTCACTGGTCTCTGATGCCTGTGTACACCCTCACTAGCGTCAAATTTTTCGGGGACCGGAAGTGTAGCGTCCTGGATCAATGTGCTTTATCTCTGGTCTCCTAGTTTCAACTTCCTCGGAGAACTTCTCTCAGACTTTGAACTGATTTCCAGGTACCTCTCGGTCGTAATTAAGATCCGATGTCAACCAGTTACGGAAACGCGCAATGTCGCATAAACATCCAGCTGTCACCCCAAAAATAGTTGTCACTATAGAATCAGCTTTCGCAGCCCCAAAATCGCACTGCTGCTATCTTGAAATGCAAGCTTTGTTCATCTCTCCAGGATTGGTATCGTTGGTAGACTTCAACGAAAAACTGGCACACCTGGAATCCATCTTGATTTTGTGCGCTACCTTCAAAATTTTTGATTGGCAAAGCAAAGTTAGGCTGACCCCGGCGTTCCGCAACGAAGTCCCGAATGAGCAAATATTTCGTAGCGAATCAGTTGTAGAATAAAAAAAATAATAACTCTCATCTGGCTACGGTGGCTTGGATATGTAGTGGTGAAAGATTCACAGCGGACGGACGATGATATGACAACGCCAGACGAAAGTGCTTACAGCCGCAATAACTTCTGTGACCTGACTGGAGTCAACATGATCCTCTGTGAGCGTGGCTGGAAACCCTGCAGGGTATGGCAAGTAATCGATCTCCGTTGCGAGCATGCTGTCGTTCCCTATTCGGACTACTTGGGTTTCTGATGTGTTGAGTAAGTCTCGCAAAGGATACTTGAGCTATTCCACTGGTGGTGGCTTGCTTCGGCCTGATATCCAGATCTTTTTCGGAAAAGTTTGGTAACAATCGGTGGATTTATTACTGGGCTACGTTTCACTTTTGAAAAAAGCTGTGTCAGGCTAAGTGACTAGGTTACGAAGTTGGTCGAGATTTAAGGCGAAAGGAGAACCAATCAGCTAGGTCAAGTTAAATGTGTTAGGTGTCGGCCAAGGGATTTTTTGTGTCAGGATGGGGAAACCTACATGGATATGGATCCAGCTTACTGTCTAGTTCTTCCTGTTCGGTTCACGTGATGATCTTGAACGTCGTTTGCACTTTTCGTCCGTCTGTATGGAGGACCTAGTGCTACGATGCCTGTGTAAGGGAGAGGGAGGAATTCTGTGAACTTTGGTCGAGTTGGGATTTCCACCCCCCTGTTTTTGCTAATGATTCTACATGCATTGACAACCACACAGTCACGTGTCAACTCAGCTTATCTGAAACCGTTTTGCATACACTCGCCGATTCCACACCCTCTAGTCTATTCATTCTGTGATGCTTGGTAATTTCCACCGCCTCGGCTATCACCTGCTGTTGTGTGAATCGCAGTCCCCGTCTTAAAACTTCAACGTTCCCCAGATCTATTCTGTCCTGTGTCTAACACATGTACCGCCATTGCTGAGTCGCTGGCCAGCTTTTGGTACTCTTCCACATTCTTCGGTGGTTTGCTTATCCTCCTTTTATGTCTACCAATTCTGGTGTGCGATTCCCTGGCAGTTTGTCCTATGTTAACCTTAGTGCAATCGTCGCAGTTAATTTTATGTACACACTCCCTAGTTCTTTCAACTGAGAGTGAGTCTTTCGATTGCAATATAACCGAGCCTAGCGTTTTTACTTTCTGGCTATTGGCTAAGTTCAGCCATCTTCGAATAACCTTCGACGACTGCTGTGCCAATCCATTCCTTACTGGGCCTAGATACCGGAGCCAATATCCCTCTTAATTTTTTCTCCGTTGCGAGCATGCTGTCGTTCCCTATTCGGACTACTTGGGTTTCTGATGTGTTGAGTAAGTCTCGCAAAGGATACTTGAGCTATTCCACTGGTGGTGGCTTGCTTCGGCCTGATATCCAGATCTTTTTCGGAAAAGTTTGGTAACAATCGGTGGATTTATTACTGGGCTACGTTTCACTTTTGAAAAAAGCTGTGTCAGGCTAAGTGACTAGGTTACGAAGTTGGTCGAGATTTAAGGCGAAAGGAGAACCAGTCAGCTAGGTCAAGTTAAATGTGTTAGGTGTCGGCCAAGGGATTTTTTGTGTCAGGATGGGGAAACCTACATGGATATGGATCCAGCTTACTGTCTAGTTCTTCCTGTTCGGTTCACGTGATGATCTTGAACGTCGTTTGCACTTTTCGTCCGTCTGTATGGAGGACCTAGTGCTACGATGCCTGTGTAAGGGAGAGGGAGGAATTCTGTGAACTTTGGTCGAGTTGGGATTTCCACCCCCCTGTTTTTGCTAATGATTCTACATGCATTGACAACCACACAGTCACGTGTCAACTCAGCTTATCTGAAACCGTTTTGCATACACTCGCCGATTCCACACCCTCTAGTCTATTCATTCTGTGATGCTTGGTAATTTCCACCGCCTCGGCTATCACCTGCTGTTGTGTGAATCGCAGTCCCCGTCTTAAAACTTCAACGTTCCCCAGATCTATTCTGTCCTGTGTCTAACACATGTACCGCCATTGCTGAGTCGCTGGCCAGCTTTTGGTACTCTTCCACATTCTTCGGTGGTTTGCTTATCCTCCTTTTATGTCTACCAATTCTGGTGTGCGATTCCCTGGCAGTTTGTCCTATGTTAACCTTAGTGCAATCGTCGCAGTTAATTTTATGTACACACTCCCTAGTTCTTTCAACTGAGAGTGAGTCTTTCGATTGCAATATAACCGAGCCTAGCGTTTTTACTTTCTGGCTATTGGCTAAGTTCAGCCATCTTCGAATAACCTTCGACGACTGCTGTGCCAATCCATTCCTTACTGGGCCTAGATACCGGAGCCAATATCCCTCTTAATTTTTGCCTGATCAAACTCACTGGGTATCCTATTTGTTGAAATCTGTTAGCTATCTCGATTTGCGCTGCTGTTTGGTCGATCTGTTCATTCCATTGCTTTCCAAAAAGTTTGAGCTTCTTGTTACTGATTGTTTTTCCTAGATACATTAAGCTTTTTTGTACCAAGTCCTCGCCGTTCCTCTTTGGTGGCCTACTTTCCTCACTTCATGGGGAATTTCTTATGACGTTAAGCACCAGTCTCCACTACTGGTGTTGATTAGCGCCCTGCTACCATAGGAGACGAAATTCATTGGAATCTGACGAGTAGATATCCTACTACAACGCACTATGACGTGATTACGAGAGCCCTAATCTAAGAGCCAAAATTGCAGTACTTTGAAGGAGGAACCCTAACCGGGTATCATCTCTTGCAGTTAATAATGATAAGGTCCAGTATTTAAATATCTAGCTAGCGGCAGTGGTTCGAAAGCTGTCGGTCAGTTGACATATCTCCGAAACCATTGTCAGGTAGTTGAACATGTTTTTATGGCTTTTTTATATTGATATTCGCTTTTCTTTGAGAGTATAACCGCCTTTTCTGCAACAAAGCCGTTGACTATCTAGGGAGGTGGGTGATGGTTTCTCCAGAGTGAAAACCTCCCGTCAAAATCTAGCGAGGAATTCTTGTAGGTTTTGTTGCAGATGTTTGCTATGCACGTTCCGATTCTTCCAAAAACCTAGAAGATTCATCGCAAGAGAGAATGACTTATCTTGTATCACGTACTGTATTTGCCAGTTGTCAGTATTCATGTCTAGTATATGGTTGTCAGTGCTGATGATTTATTGTATAAGAATGAAAATCGTTTAGACGGCAATCTTAAGGAAACAAACTGAACACGTGCCTGGCTCATCCTTTGCGTATTATTACCCCTCAAAATGAGTTCAATCAGGAATCTACCCCAGGACAACTAACAATCAAGCTGACCTAGACACTACCTACACTATCGTCAAAGCCTGGGCTGCGGCATTCACGCAATTTGGTCACCATTTAATACTCAGCATTCTGAGCTGCTTCATAACTCGTATGAGCACAGTTACCAAGCTTTATTTGTTTTCCTTCTGCTTCCCGTTAGGTGGAAGAAGCCACATCTCAGACTCTCCGAGGACATGCTTTGTGGAAAACCACCCTCAAAAAGTTTCACGAAGATTTACACGAGTGCACACATGAAAATACCAACTTTACTATACAGTTACAGTGCTAGTTGATTTGTAACACATACTTGGCGATCTGCTCTACTATGCGCAATAAAGCGAATGACTGATGTGATTCAGAAGTTTAGATTGAATTATAGAACCAATGGAAATGAATCTTCCATCTGTTTTATAGTGGTAGGGTGCTCCACCTCAGATCGAAATAGTTCAGGTATTATTGCTTTACGATGAGTTCACATCAGACTTTCAGATTTTTACAAATGGATTCATTTTCGATTTCTTAAAAGTTTTGTTCCCCAAAGGTGCGATGGCGATAAAAATCGAAGCAAAGAGAATACTCCTGAGAAGAGATGCGCTTAAGGGCGCTACTTGTATGGTCTGAGTCCAGATATATCCACCACTATGATTTGCGGCTCAAATAACCCCTATTAGAAGATACTTGCAATGTGGCTGAATTGAGCTAGGTGGTCAGGGAGTGGAAGATAACATGTGCCAACTTCGCGGTCCCCCTTACGCAGTTTTTCACTTCCAACACACGCCTATCAAAGCGAATCCCATTCGTTCGCACCGGGAACGGGTTCGTCCATTACCACGGTCAGTAACTCGTTTTTCTGAAAAAATGTACCTCGTTCACCGGTCGCAAACGTTTGTTCTGACAAAATTTATTAAAATGACAACTAGTAACGTGCTGTCGCCATTCCGGTGAATCGGGCCGTCGACAACATTACACCAGTAAAAGACACTGGCGTTCAGCAATGCAACACATGCAACAATTCGTTTAATCACATCTAGTTCAGTTTCTCACCTCGCATGCCGTGCATCAAGCGCAGCAGTTCCATCCGCTACAGCTTCGTTCACTGAAGAATAAGGAACTGAACTCTGCCTGTTGGAGGTGATGGCCCATTCAGCTCATTGACGTCAAATGTTTCCCAGTGCCCATTATGGTAGAAGGTGAGAACTAAGTAATGAAGGCGATACCTTTGATGCTGCGTGACTCAGTCATATCTTTCAATCACTAAGCTTTGGTTTGTCTCATTCCGTGCTCCCAACTCAGGAAGACGGCATTTACCGACGCGACCCAGCTGATTAGTGGCGGCTTTTATGCTTCGATCCCAAGTCATGGACTGACCGCCTCGGTCGTCCTCATCCGATACAAGGCCAGACAAAGGGGGCTCTACCTGGCAAACTGTCCTCTGACATAAATTGTGGAGTGTGAACAGCTGATCTATCGAGAGTGACCTCCCACCAAAACATCCTGGTGTACAGCAGCATTACTGGCCCAATGTTCCCACCAGACCCATGGAATACTTTGGAGGCACCGATTGTCAAGGCGCCGAAGATCTCCACACAGTGGCTACGGCTCTGATCCATAAAGTAAGACAGATGGGACGGCGGCTATGTAGACTATACCATTAACAGTCAATCTGGTGTCACAAATGTCGAAGGTTGACAAACGCCGTCATGGCCTTCCTAATTGGGGAAGTGATTTCATCCCTCGCCAGTCCGCTGCGACTCATGTAACTGTCCAGATAGGCTTGTGTACCGCGTCGATCGGTTCACCTGCAAGTATAGAGTTTAAGTTTGGTCCTACGCAGTTTTGCGGTAGCACTTTATAGGTGGGAAAATCATACTGAGCTGTGCGACAGAACTATTTAGGTTACTGAAATAGTTCACATTTCTTAAGGGTCCAATTCCAGAAGAGCAGCGTTTTCGCCGTACTCTATGTTCGCCAGAGGACGCAACGGGAGAACTTCGACTCCCGAGGTGTTAGTTGCAGATAAAGATTCAAGGAGCACATCGATAACGAAATTAAGGAGAAGGGGCGTCAGAGAACACCCGTACCTGACACCACTAGTATTTGATTAACACAATCCAGGGCAGGGTGCAGTTCGTGGTCCCCAAGTCACACGGCATGAGCCTTTGCGCTGAATTTCCTCGCCACCGATATCTGCACTACTTGCAGACCGAAGCAACAGAGGTGTTCTTCTCGGTCCCAGAGCTGCCGGTTGTCGGAGCATACGGTGGCACGAGAAACACTGCTTGCCACATTGAGATGAAAAAATCGTTCAGCTGTAGCACCCTTTCGGTGCCTAACCGCCAAGCCGCCAGAAGAAAGCACGGGGGCTGAGACACTGCCAGGTTACCTAAGCCTAGGCAGGGGAAGTCGAGAGGCAGAGGTCGGATTCGAAGCACGGACCTTCCGGTCAGTAAGTTCGCGCTCTAACCACTGAGCTATCTCGCCCCACATTTGGGTACATTGATCCTTATGGAACCGGTCAACCTAACCGCAAAAATGTGACTTAAGTGAAGTCCAGTACAGTAAAACGCATTCATCACTGGGTATAAACACAACTATCACACGGTAGATATCACCATCGGGAGCGCCACACACTCGAAGATTAAAGTGTGACAAACCTGGTTCGCCCCGAGCGTTCTGAGACGAATGACCTGAATGGAGTCTTGTATGTGTTCCGAAGACAATATATATCGACCGAGAACAAGGTCTGAGCAAGAGCTACCTGTTACAGAATCTGACGTTGAAAACTGCAATGTGAAACTGAGCCCTTAAAACTAATAAAGGCTTTTTCTGATTTATTTTACTGAACAGAAGCTCAGATATAGAGCAACGGTTAGATGGTCGATAATTAAATAAATCAGGACTTGGGTAAGGGGCGACTAGCGAAGACCTGTAAGGGTGAAAGATATTTCCCGGTTGTCCAGGTCAAAGGTATGGTTGAGGCATCCCAGCTTGAACCTTTGACTTAAGTCTGACCGACAAAGTAGTGAATATCTAGGGTTTTGTTCGACAATCTTGCCCCTGGCGTCTGACTCAAAAGTTGGACCGAGAAGCGTTTGTCGTCTCTTGCGTAACTCCGTCCGGAGACAATCACTCAAAAGTTTGTTCGCTTGCAGGGGCCTGGCCTGACCCGGTGACACAGGAACTAGGGCATTATTGTCTGATTCCTAATGCGCTGCCCATAGTAGGTGCCTTTCGAGTAGCAGCAGACTGGTTTTAAAAGTATTTCAACCTTAATGAATGATGCGCCGGCGGTCACGGACCGACCCAACGTCTTTTGCGAACCTTACTCGACATAGGTTCAACATGCAACGACAATCTCTGTCTTCCTGTAGAAAGTGACGGTAACCTAGCCACTGGGACCGGTTACATACCGTCCCACAGGGTTTCCAACCACATGCAATGAGAACCAGGCTGGCCCCAAACAGGAAAGCGCGAAGATCCCACAGCACTCATTTTGATGGAAGCCACCGATTCGCGTTGTCAAGTAATGGCCTGTCCTCCGCGGGCCTTCCACCAAGTTTGGGGTAGCTGGGTATGTATAGTACACATCCCAATCACATGAGTTCCAATTAGTATTTTAGTGATTCCGATTCATCAATAGGTTACTGTTTCACGCACCTTTTCATTGAGAACGCGCTACAACCAGCGAACGCTTGATACAGACACCGTCGAATGGGCCGAGCCCCACAACGATAGACTAAGACTGCTTTTACAGTTGCACCATAACTCTTTAGCTTTATTGAAATTCATTTCTGATGCCGCAGTTGATGCAAGTTCGCAAATGCTGCTCCCACCTTGGTGACGTGTGCACTGACTTTTGTCGCGGTAGCTAAAATAAGTAAGCCAGCGGAAAACGCGGAGTATCTCCTGAAGTTTTGGAGGGATACATAAATTCAAAATCCTGATGAATATTTTACACCCTTAAGGAGCGAATCCGCACCGAATCTCTATCCAGAGCAGAGTGATCGTTAAACAAGAAAATATCACCCGAATGGTCCTAGTCTATTCTTCTTTCTCTAGGTGTGATTTCTGATACTAAAAGCCTTGATCTTTCGGAATGCATACTCCATGATAATACTGACGACCAAACTGAACAGAGACAAGACAACTATCGCCGAATCACACTAGTTGTTGGGGGATTTCTGGACAGCTCGTCTTAAACATTCAAAAGACCAGAAGGATGGGAAACAGAGCACACGAGGTATAGTTACAAACTCCCGAGGAATTCCCAATTGACCAAGCGCATCTAGAGGAAGTGACCGCAACTATGGCGTGACGGATTCTGATAAGTGAAAGTTGGACGGTGGACGTCACTGGTGGTGCTCAATGAGTAAGACCCCTCGGTATCTGCCTGGAGGGTCTACGGACGAACAGAGGTGATAACAATAAAGTAACATGAAAAACATTAGCAGTTGCATGTTTTTGCTTAGCCGCCTTGTTATATACTGCGAGTGAGGCGACGCGGCATGGATGTACATCTGCTCGCCCTATTCGTGTCTGTATGTGGGCTCAGATAGCGCCAGGACACTCAACCAATCAGAGTTCTCAACCGAAGTTGCAAGGCAGCAGTGACTGGTTTGAATGAGTTGCTACACTTGTTCCAACCTTTAACCTGGAAGGTCAGAAGACTACTCTATCCGCTCATCAACCTGGGGAGAATGTGGGTGTCAAATGAGCATACAGCTCAATGGGTTACTGATATACGTAAACCGCCGCATCATGATAAAGTTCAACCAAGCTAAATTGGTTTGAGATGAAGCGATTTCGATCAGATGAGATTACTGGGACCTGGAACCTCCGCCTTTTTTGATATGTACAAATATACGGTGCCAAATCTGAACCCTCTCTGAGTCACCATGAGTTCCACATCCGAATGTCAGATGCTTCAGATCCCATTAGCTCCCATCTGGACATGTATATAAAAACAATCAGATCTGAAGGAAATATGTAGATGAAGACATAACGGGACTACGTTTGAGAACACTATCGAAATGGAAGTAACAGGCACGGTCAGACAACCGGCTCTTCTTGATGTGGACCGTAACGTTTGACCCATCGCTCGACAAATTCTTGCTTCCGCTTTTCTCGCTTTGCAAAATAGTCTGGATACTGCAGCTTTTCCAATGGATGCCAGAAATCCAGTTGCTTTGAGGGGCAGGAATGGGAAATTGGCAGGATATAGTCAAATACAATAATAATGACAATAGTAATAATGATGCAGCAATAATGCAACAGAAACTTGTGCCAATGAGTGAAATAATTTGTACATGGGTGTGTCTGAATACCACCTCTGTATGTTGGAGAAGACGTTTTACAGAATCCTTTCTGAATAGAGCTTCCACGGCTAACCAGGAGATTGACTACGAAAAAATTTCTTGCGGCGCTTGAAATTTCATGAACTTTGAAGAAGCATAAGATTTGCAGCAGGTTCCATGGAACCTAAGTGCGCAATACAGAAGAAAGGATGCGCATTCCTCAAGTTCCATTCATAGATGGCTTGAGACTACCTTAAATTATGATCACTCTGGGTTTATCGACGTCGCGAATTCTCTCCTCGACAGGGACCAAGAGACGGTAAGAGATTTGAATACATTCAGACACCAAATGCGTCTTTGGTTGCTCATGTCATAGGTTAAAATTGCTTTCTGAGTGGTTGGAGACCTCAAAATACTATTCTCATCTGCACAGCCCTTAACTATTACAGTGAATACAGTAGACGAACTGTGATCTGGCGCCAGCAGGCATCCAGCTACGTCCACTCGGAGAAAGGCGATCGGTACGAGACTGCACAGTACTTTTTTGAAAGACCTACTTCGATCAAAAGCTGTGCATCTCCAGAAAACCCATCAGAACATATAGCACACATCAGGCACCGGCAGTTTCGAAATTCGACCGAATCTTAGAACTGAAGAATACCCTATTTGGATTTCACAAATTGGTAGTCCAGCTGAGACTAATATTCAATGGGGCGTTTGGTATTTGACCTGATTATCATCATCGACGGCAGTACACAGGAAGTAAACAAAAGCGCCTAGCTGCCACAGGATCATGAAATGCCATAATATAGAGTAGGAATAAAGGAAAACGATGGGGAGTAGGCGCGAAACGAGCCCTGTCCCTATAGAAAACTACCGAGAACAAAATCCGTACACACTCAGATGGCAATCTAAGAAGACCGCCCAGACAATTTTGGTACATAGCTGCCATGCACAACGGCTGGGACATTGTCAAGGTGCCCAAGCCTATACAGAATCAGTCGAGATGCCGATATCGGCTCCGAACCACAGACCTTCCAGTCAGTAAGTTCGTGCCCTAAACACTGAGCCATCTCGGGCTTAGCAGGTGTGAGAATCATATCAGATTATGATGCCAGCGGGGCATGCAACCAAGCATCCGTCGCAAAACTTGTCCAGCACACCGGGACAAAGAAAATTTAACTAGAAAGTGATAACATTATCACCACTGGACGCTTACGTGCCATGTCATGTGCGTTTCCTAAGAATGTGTATCCCCAGCACGAAGACCTCACAGCACCCGCTTTGTTCGGAGTTGCCGAAGTTTCGCGCTGTCATGTCATGGATCGCCTTCCGAGATTTTTTGGCCAACAATGTCTCTTGAGTAAAGACTTCCTTCCGTAAATGGAGGTAGGGCGTGCATAGTAAGTTTCCCAGTTACCCTTGCCTGGCAATTCCTACTCGTCGTTCTAGCCGCCATCGAACACTCGCTTGCGCACTACTTTATTGTGTGCTCACCGCAGAGGACACACCTGTCCTTGGCTCATATCCTTTTAAAATGCAAGCCATTCTAAATAACCTAAATGACTGCCACACGGGTTGGCATAGGTTTCACAGCTGCAAAGTGTAAGGTGCTGCTACAATACTGGTTTGGAGTAAACCTCATGCTTGCGAGCGAGCCAATCGACATGGTAGAAACATTTGTTTACATGGACAGCTGTACCATTTCCGGTGGAGTGGCCGGAGACGAGATTATTTCTCGAGGTTGGAAGGCCAGGTTAGCTTTTGCTAATCTCCGACACCGATGGCGCCGGCGTGACATTAGTTTGTCTGTCAAGGACAGAGGTTACTACACTGAGACTGTATGATCCATACTGCTTTGTGGATCAAAGATATGACATCTACTCACAGAGGATGTACGAAATATATCAATGTTTGAACATTGATGTTTCCGGAACATTGGTCAGGTCTGGTGAAAAAATGCGAGTGAGCAATGCTGAGGTATACCAAATGGTCGTAGAAAGAAGGAATTCCCCTGCGATAGATGAGTTACACTACACAGGTTACGCTGGTTAGGACATGTGCTCCACATGCCAGAAGACCGTCTGCCTCGCAAAGCACTTTTCACCCAGACCAGTGCTGAGTGGAGGCGACCTAGAGGTGAACAGCGTATGACCTGGGTAGAGGGTACGAAAACACTAACCAGAAAACTTGGTCGGGTCGACAACTGCCGCCTCCTTGGATGGGGACCCCGGGATTCATCTCATCAATCGTTAATGACACTGGTACAAATGGTCCAGTCGCGCGCCTAATGACGTTTGTGCATCAAATCTATCGCCTTTAACGCGTAGCTATTCGATTTTCGAACTAACTGATCATGCTATCGCCTCCAATGCCTCGGCTGTATGTCCCACACTATCTCATTTTCCAGTAATCGGAACTATGGCAACTGGAACTAATGTGCCTATGATACACAGTTTATAGTTGATAAATGGAATTGATCTGACACGCCCGGATGTGAATTTATGAATCGAATAATGTTCACAAACCTCTGAAGCACAGTTAACAGCACTAACTGATCGACAGCCAAAAGTACGCTTGAAGTCACGGGACACCAAGAGTGTGGGTAGCCTGTACATGTGGCGTTGCTCCAACACCCTACGGAGTGTGAAGATGTGGTCACGACAGCCTCCAGCCGATAAAAATCCTGTTTGATTCTCACGAGATGACGAAGGATCGGTGACGCCAGAGTTCTTGTCACAATAGGAGTCAAACTAACACCTGTAGTTGTTACATTCAATGAGATTACCCTTTTTGAAAGTGGGCAATATTATCAATCCACCCCAGTTGTTTGGGACGGTCGCTTGAGTAGAAGTATACACTCGAACAATTTGGAGGTTGAAGGTAATCCCATCTTCACAGTCCACCTTTCTACTGAAGGCCAGGATTCCAGATTGAAGGTAGCAGGTGGCCAAGTGAATTGCTGTCCGAATGACTTTGCCCAGCGGTCGGCTTTACTGGATATCCGGGGGACCTTTCGATCCCTGATAACTTCGCTACCGACCGGCTTCCGACGACCAGTTGAACGAATGAAGTGGAACAGCTTGCGGACGTTTCCAGCATTTTTTCTGCATCTTTCATTTCTTCGGTCTTTCGGGTCCACCAAGCTTTCTGGTCTGCACGGACACTCCGTTTCATCTGGCACAGATTTGGGGCAGGCAATCCTATTGTCTGTGTGTTTCGTGGCCAACACAAGGCAGGCACCCAGTAGGTCTTAGCCTACCTACATGGACGTTCAAGCCACCAGCAACCACAACGATATAAGGTTTTGAGGTCCTAGAACGTCATGAAAACTGTCTTTGGTAAATTCAGACCTACAAACACAATAAACAGAGTGCGGCGGACCTCACTCTCAAAATTCTCTTAGATGTTGTCAAACGAATCGCGCAGAGGCGAATATCAACGGGCATCCAATCAATTAGAGACGCCCCTGCAGGAGTATGAAAACAGAATTCTAAGTGTTTAGGGTTGTCACTGAAGTCGCATGCACAGGAGCTGCAACTGAATGTGAAGCACAGCAAGAAAGACGGTCAACCCTAGCGCCGGGATCTAAGGAGAGAGTATTCAAATGTGGATGGGGTAGGGTAGAAGAAGGAAAGACGTGAAAATGTAGGGGAGGCGTCAGCAGTACTGTTTCCGCTTACCCGCCCTGCTGTATACAGCAAGTAAGACGACTCGACTGGTGACCCTGCGCGATGGCCGATGTGCTATGTGGTTATTTTCAATTATAAGTATCATGTTTCTATGCCGGCTGGGGTACTGTCGGGCCGCCCATACCGAGACAGGAGGACGATTAGAACCCTCGACCAAAGCCTTTGGCTCAAAAGCCTGACCTCAAGGCAGGGGTGTTTGGAAGGAACTGCAAGTGCATTGCTATTTTTTTAGAACAAGTCGCAAAACATGCTCTAACACCTAACCAGGAGGGCCATAAGACTGTGCACGCCTACCAGCTTAACGTACCAGAGCACTACTTCCCCGCCGCCAAGGCTAAATATATATCTGGCAAGCTCTGAAAACGTCTATCTGAGAAAGGTGTTTAAGTTTTGTGGATGACGTCAGCAACACATGAAAATACTTTTAGCACATCATATGCCCACATCCGAAGTACGAACAGTAGAACGCAGAGCAGTGGCGATACTCATAGCGCATTTAGATGTCTTGTACAATAAGCCCTGGAATGGAATTGAACAACCTAAGAATCTTGCACGATTACAGGGATGGATGACTGGTGTCGTCGATGCTTCTCAAAATTCAGACAAATCAATGCTCTGGTCACACTCGATACTTGATTCGGTGTGTCCATGTGAATGTCAGAATAAGAGCGCGCGAATCCGATTACTGCGTGCGTGAACTCGTTGATGGTTGAAGTCAGTCACAATTACACGTAAACTGTTACATGAGAGGTGGCGGTAACACGACATAAGAATGAGTGCGTCATCAGTACAGTAGTGTTATCAAGATGCCGAAATTATCGGGTTGAAAGGTTTGTTGCACGAAAGCACAAATGAGCCCGACGCAAACGAGCAAATTTCTAGCAACATCATCGTGTCTGCGTGTTTACGGACTATATTCCCGAATCAAATCGTTTCAATGGAACTTCCGCTAATAGATAAAAACAACTTTCAGGTAGGTTGTTTAAAGAGAACAGGTAGTAAGTACTCAAATCTTACAGCTTACGTTGCGTTGGTGTCAAGCCACCGGACAACAGTGCCAACACCGAGGTAAGGACAAGAACATTTTTTGTAAAGTTCTGGTGTACTACGTGCATGAGACGCATAAACAAGAGCATAAGACAGAGTGATTGGATAGGACTCACAATATCATGCCTATGAGTCGAGGTCTCGTACGCCACACCACCCGGAGCATAAGGGTCTGCGATCCAATGTATCACATGAAAGGCAAAACTCACATTTAAAGGTAAAAGCGAATCGGGTGGCATTATATTCTTTCCATCCCTCCTCTAAAATCCGCTTGGCCAAAATTTCATCCTTAATATTCCGATTCTCTTCGAATCTTGCACGCAATAACACAGCCTTGTAACGAAAATCAAGCCTGCCGAAAAGTAAATTACAAAGCTACGGACTAACACGTTGCCGTGTCTGGCCTTCAAGTCGTATAGAGCTGCTTTATACAGGCGACAAACTTGCTGAGCGTGAGGAATTAGTTTAGTTCGTAAGTAAGGTGGTGGAATAGGGGGCTTTGCCATTTTGCAGGGAAGTTCGATCCAGACGGACCCGCTGGAGAACTCAAGCACACGCAGCAACGGCCGAAATGAGGATCTCGAAGATCATTGGACAGTGGGTACAACAGCCAACCCAATTCATTCGAATCTCGTTCCGGAGCCAAAGAGTCTTCTGGCTTATCAGTTGCCACTGCATATTCAGAACCATCCGAAAAAAAAAAATATTCACGAAGATCATTGGACAGTGGGTACAACAGCCAACCCAATTCATTCGAATCTCGTTCCGGAGCCAAAGAGTCTTCTGGCTTATCAGTTGCCACTGCATATTCAGAACCATCCGAAAAAAAACAAATATTCACTACCTTTGGCCTCACCGTGGATCCTTATGTCTTCTGCGAGCCTTTCGCTCAAGTTTCTCAGGTCGGTTTCGTTCTTGTCGTTGAGCGGCTATCGTTCACCTGAAAGGCACGAGCAAAAACAGGGTAAAGCATTGCTCTTTATGTTCTCAACGCAGGTCAGTATGCTTGCCAGTGTTAGGATCCACATAGATAAGTGCCTAATGGTGCTTAGAACTGGGTTCTAGAAGGAGCGTGGACAACGGTTGGAGGAAAGTTATTCCACCCAGCTACTACACGAAATGAGAAAATTTTGCCTAATGAAAGTGTGCGCTCTGAGCATCAAAATCATCTCACCATGTCCCCGCCTTGTGTTTGCTGGGTCGACGGCTAAAAACCTATTGACCAAGCTTTGATCAAGCGGGGTATGAGTAAGAATTACGTCCTCTCGGTTGTGACGATACCCCGGGGGAAAGAGGCCAAGCACGAGACGCGTTTCGTACTCCACGGATTTGGGGCCGGCAACCAATTTCATAGACGTTTTCTGGACATGCTCAAAGAGTACGACGTCGTTCGTGCGTCCGGAGAAGATAACTCGGTTGGAATATTCAAGAATCGGTCTGACACGGGCCCAATATATTATTTAGAAGTCCACACGAGTGATACAGGAGAGGGTGCGTCGGATCATCCGTAAAATGGCGAATGCATTTTGGGCCGACTTCTCATGGTGTAGTGAGAAAGACAAGTTTTAAGAGACCCAGATGCTTAAATCCTTTTTGGCATCTGTCCTCATGATGTTTTCTGGTCCTTTCTCACCACGCATAACAGGGGCATTCGCTGAGTCTCCTCCAAATGACATACGGACGCACTTTTCGTCATTCAGAGGAAGGTGCAACTCCAATGACTACGGCTTTGCAGCGTCTACATCCATTTGGAGGGCGCTGGCATTGGGACGCCAGAATTTCAAGTCGTCCGCAAAAGGCAGACATGGACTTGCAAGAACATCTGGGAAGTCGTTGACGTAGACCAGAAACAGCGGTGGTCCAAGAGCGGAGCCTTGAGGAACCCCAATGGACACCGTCGCTGGTGAAGAGTAGATCGGGTTTATTCTCACCCGGAATGATCTGTCTGATTGGACCGCTTTGATCCGGAGTATTTTTTTCCGTTAAATCTTGTGGGGCTCGAGTTTGTGGGGCAGCGAGACCTGTTAGACACTGCCAAATGCTTTGAGACGTCGAAAAATATGGCATCCGATATGAGTACCTCGTCCTTGGCTTGGGTTGAGCTGCCAACAAAAACGAGCATGTTTGTCCCGCATGGGCGGTGTGGGAGAAATCCTCTTTGAGCTGGGGACATCAGGTTGCTGGAAGTAAGGTTATCTAGGATAGCTCGCTTCAGAATGCGTTTCATCGCTTGCATGGCACACTAGCGAGGCTTATAGGCCTATAGCTGCCAGGCGATAGTCGGTCACAAGTATTATAGATTGGCGTGACTTACTCCCAAGAAGATAGAATGCGGTATTCGTCAAGCAACTGGCGAAACACCAGGAATAAATTATTTGCCAGTGTAAATGACATTTCCTTCAGGATACTTGGGTGGACGACGTCGGGTCCCAACGCGCCGAATGAGTTGATCCTGTGCAAGAGTGGACGACTGTCCTCCACCGTGAAGACCATGTCAGCTGGAGGCTTTTCGTAGTTACGACTTGTCAAGAGTTGATGTGATGAGTACGCTGGGGCTGAATATAGATATGCACAGTGTTCTCTGTAAACCTCAGATACTACTGTTGGGTCACTTACGGTTCTCCGTTCCTGTCCCTCAAGGCTTGCTTCTGCTGAGATATCTCATGTATTCAAAGAGTACGTTTCCGTTTTTTCGGGTCCAGAATGGTGGCTTGTTTTCGTATGTTTCATTTGCAAATTTCTGATTTACAGCGGTTCCGCTCTTTACGAAATGCAAGCATATCTTCTGTGTCTTCTGTAATCAACTATTTGAAAAATTTGGGACCTCTTTTCCAAAAGACGCCGAATCAATCTTTCGTGCTTGCGACTCATCCTACTGCGTGCTGGGTTTTTGGGACGAACATGGAGTCAGGCTCGTGAATTTTCTGGACAATGGTCCTATATAGTTCCTCCGCCGGAGCTGGTCCCAGTGTGACTTGTTCAAGAAAAGTGCGCATTCTTTAGAAGTTGCACGGCAGGAAGTCTCGAAACCATGTTTGAGGTTCGGGATTTATGGCCCAATAGCAGATGAAATCAAAAGTCAGCACACAGTGGTCGCTTTGTCCCAGTGGAGCGTTAATTATTACCTGATCAACGAAGTGACTTTCGTTAGTGATGACCAAATCCAAGAGGCATGGTAGTTAGCCTGTGCGGTATCTGGTGGGCCTAACGACATGTTGAGCCCAAGCGCTCTGTTGAGCGACTTCAATCGGCGCCGCTGCAAAAGGTCGCCTGATTCGATGCGCTGGAGCTCTATTCAGGAGGCCTTTGGAGGGCTGAAGTCACCTACCAACAGGAAATGGGTGGAGTGGTAGATGGGGAAGAGCTGCTTAATGGTCCGTATGAGGAATTGGTCATCTTCAGGGGGACTCAAGGGACCAGGGTAGACCACACCGAGAAGGGGGAAGACTATAATGGCATCAGAAGAAATTGATGGGTGTGTGGAAGTATCAGGAAGCATCGGATTAATCAGTAGAAAACTCAGTTTCGGAACAGTTATGGAATGTTAGCAACTCAATAAAACAACTATTTGACCTACCTAAGCATGTATTAACTTTATGACTCGGACACCTGGACAAGGCACGATCGGAATTTTCTTGTCACCCTTGCTAGTGAAACTCAGAACCGGGTCGACTCAATTGATAGGGAGTTGTCTTCGTCTTTTTTGTGTTTGGGCTACTAATAAAACGGATGAGCGGTAAAGTTTATTGGCACGTGGCTGGTCGGGATTTCGTCTCTCGTTACTATTATTTGCTGTTCAGCACCATCTCTATTCGATAATAATAATAATAATTTATATTCCCCACTTGTGAGTGGCATACCGTCTTTCTCCATATATATGCAAGCGTAAGGAAAATTTCCGCCCGGGGGACGCTTTGAATTTCAGCTACGTCAACGACCTTCCGGATGCCTTTGCAAGTCCATGTCTGCTTTTTGCGGACGACTTGAAATCCTGGAGTTCCAACGCCAGTGCCCTCCAAATGGATGATGACGCTGCAAAGGAGTGGTCGTTGGACTGACACCTCACTCTGAATGACGGAAAAAGCGTCCATATATCATTCAGGGGATGCTCAGAGAACGTCTTTGTCGTTTGTGGTGAAAATGGACCAAAAGATGCCAAAGAGGATTCGGGTATCTGACTCTCTTCGAACATGTCCTTCTCATTGCAGCATGAAAAGTTGGACAAAAAGACATCCGCCGTTCTACGGATGATTCGGCGCACCTTGTCCCGTGTTACTCACATGGATATCCAAATACTCTATGGGGCTTACATCATACCACCCGTTGAATATGCCAACCCAGTTGTCTACTCAGGATGCCCACAAGATGGAACCCTCATTGAGCGTGTCCAGCGAGCTGCCAGAAAAACGGCTACCGACCTCAAATCCGTGGACTACAAAACGCGTCTTTTGGTGGACGCCCTGTTTACCCTAATGTATAGTCGATCAAGAGGGGATCAACTTCTTACCTATGCCCTGTTTGAACAAAGGTTGACCAACAGGTTTTTCACCGTTGATCCAGCAAACACACGGTGAGGGTATGGTAACAAGATCTTAATATCAGAGAGCTTACTTTCATTCGGCACAATTTTTTCTCATTTCCAGTAGCTGCTGGACAGAATAACCTTCCAATGACGGTTGTTCACGCTTTTTCAGACGCATCTCCAGCGTCGCACCGTTAAAAGTCGGTTCAAAGTCGACTGCTTCAGTTTCGCCTGTGCCATTCAGGCGAACTGCAGGCGCTGAACGACAGGAAGACAACCAACCCGGGATATTCGGGCAAAAGATTAGATCCTGTGTTTCAGGTCTTGCTTTGGACACAACGCTTCTTCCATGAAAACATTGCTGCAGCGCGGCGTAACCTTCCTCTGACAGTTGTCCCCGCCTCCTATGGAACACAGTTCGAATTACTATTGAACACTTATATATGCGAGTGCTCGCGCTGGAATGCATATTACCGCGCGATAAGAACTTAACGAGCACTGCTACACCCGTTTTTCACCTGTGCTTTTCCGATATGTGACAGCCGCTGAACGACAAGAACAATGCCAACCCGGGAATGTTGATCAAAAGCCTCGATTTCGTGCATCAATCCGTGAATGTACGGTTGCCTAATTCGCACTGCCTTAGGAAAAATTATCCCTTAAACCGCGTCAACTTATTATACACCGTCGGAATTCCACCGTTCCGGTGTTTTTCCTCTGTCGCTGATGAATTTCGGCTTTTTGTCACCTAGTCATTACTTATGCCTTGCCTACCCGTTTAAGCCTAGCTTGCCTAGAAAAGCTTTTGTCCGCTCCCAAGTTTTGAACTCCCATTGACAATTTCTACATATTGCCCTCCCCTACCGTCCTCCCGCACCGATGATGCTGAAGGATGCACCGCTTGGAAATCTCATCTTACATGCATGCCGTCACCTTACAAACAATCCTAACTTCCTCCACTGTCCTTTTGTTTAATTTTAGCCACGTGTTTAATCCACGTTTTTGATCTAGTCACTTCTCTTCGCGCAGTGCTAAATGAACTCGGTCAGAGATTAATCAGGCCCAGTTAACCATCCTTAACGTAGCACCATCCATCCACCTGAATTTGTATTGTGCCAAAGCACACCTCGGGTTAATTTATCAAGTGGACAGTGCAGCTATCTAATTGGTTAATTAATTATTTGATTGATTGATTAATTAGCTAATTAATTAATTAATTACTCAACTGATTATCGTGGTGTTTACACGAAATTCAAAGGAATAACCTTTATGGAAATCCTGTGTCACTGGCTTAAGCTCATCACATTTATACACCAGGGAGTTACTGTATGGATACAAAAGGCCCACTACGAAAAGGTAAAAATGCTGTTCATGTGGAGGTTAACCGGAATCCACAAAAATCAGGCAGCGTGACGTATGTGACACACTTCGTTCTTCAAAGCCCCCACTCTTATCCCGTTTGTATCTGCGTCATGCTGATGTCACCCCATCGAACACATCACGTTC